TTTGTCTGTTCTGTGTATGCTGCAGTTTTGATAGGGAGGCTTCTATTGGGAGTTGCTGTCAGTCAACACAACAGGGCTGGCCAGGAGGCATGGTGGCAAAACTGACTAGGGCATCCTGTATTTTCAGAGAAAAAGTACAGAAATGCAGACTGTCCACACCAGCACGGTTCTGCGTCCACTTGGTATGATGAGATTGAAACTGGAGAGAAGGGGAACTGGCAGAGCATTTCAAAGTAAATTAAGAACAGGCTAAGTTTTTCAAAAACATAAAAAACACACATACTGTATGTGGTAAGAAGTTTGGGGTAACATACATATTAATACACTTAGTAAATAGACTTTCTCTGCACTCAGTATGTGCACTCCTATGATTATATTTGTGTATCTGTATGTGTATCAATACACACACATTGTGTATTGATATAAAATTCCAAGTCATCAACTCTGGGACACATCCATGAGAATATTATGCATTGTGATGAAATGGAGTATCTATACCCAAAAACAATAATGCTGTATATTGAGGCTTAGCAGTCACTGGATGTTGTGGCTGCATTAGTTTGCTTTTTTTCAGGCTGTATTTTCTTCATTTTCACAGGTGATCCTGACAGTAATCACACGTTCTGTCCTAGCATGATAATGCTCATTCACTGTGCTTTATCCAGGGAGAAGTTGTCACCCTAGGAGGCATTTTGTAGTTCACCAAGGTGAACTAGCCAGGGCTGATAACACTGCTTAAAGTGATAGTAAAGGCAATTAAAAAAAAAATAACAAACATGTCATAGTTACCTGCTCTGTGCAGTGGTCTTGCACAAAGCAGCCCTAATCCTCCTCTTCTGTGGTCCCCTGCCGGTACTCCTAGCCCCTTCCTTCTGTCCAGTGACCCCAAAGCAAGCAGCATCGAAGCAGGTGCGCTCCCAAGCCGCTGCTCTATGTATCCATTCACACATAGAGTTGCAGCTTGGCCCCTCCCCCTCTCTTTGCCCATTGGCTCTCGCTGCTGTCTCAGCCAATGAGGAGGGAAAGTCCCTGGAGAGCCGAGGCTCCTGTGCACATTGCTGGATTGCAATGGGGCTCTATCATGTACCTCGTTAGGGAGCCTGACATGTAGAGGAATGCCTCTCATACAGCTCTGGCTCAGGGGCCACTGAAGGTGGAACAGCAACCACGAGAGCACAGCGGGGTATGAATGTCTGATCAGTCCAGTAGTCTGCAGAGGAATAGCTGATGACTTGCTGAGTGGATGCCAGGAGTGAAGTAGCGGGCTGTAGGCAGACGTCACTGCGGAACAGGCTGGTAGCAGGCAGGCTGACAGCAGGCAGATGACACAGTGGAGCAGGCTGGTAGCAGGCAAAGCTGGATGCAGGGTCAGACGGGCAAGCTCGGTAACAGGCAGGCAGGTAAGCATATACGGCAGGCAGAAGAAGGGTCAGGTCACGGGCCAATGTCAGCAACAGAGAGGCATATCAGGCAGATACCGTAGGCAGAGACAGAATCCAAGAAGCAAGCCGAGGTCAGTGCAGGTAGCGTTCAAGCAAGGTCAGGTTAAGCCGGGTCAATCAGGGGTATCAATACAGGAACGGACACAGGGAAAGCTGCAGATCAGACAGCAATTCACTAGTGCAGCTGCTGCACCTATATAAGCCAATGGGCACCAGAATTAGCCAATGCGCATTTCCGTGTGCGCGCATGCCCATTCACAACAGTACAAGCTCCTGAAGGCCTGCGCATTCGCGCGTGGCTACAAACCTCAGCTGTGCCACGGCCAACATGTCCCTGATAGGCTCAGGTAAGTATTTTTGAAGAAAAAAAAATAAAATGTAGAGAAATGTGCATATATTAAATAGAAATATTGATTTTTATTCTTTTTCTAAGGCATATGCCTTGGGGTCTATTTATACGTAAATGTTTTCACCAATATTCACACTCCCTCCACCAAGGATTCACAAATTTTTATAAATGTATTAAATTCAAAAAGTGTGCAAATACTGGGTGAATGGTATTAACATTTTGTGTAAAATTGGTTATAAATAGATCCATTTGCATCATTCATTTCATTTAGTTAAAAAAGGAAAATTATATTGGCAGACCACTTGGCTCTTTTGAAAAATTGCTCATGTTTTTAAGTTCTAAAAAGGGTTATTCCTTGGTATAAAACACAATGTACAGACAAGCCTGCTATTCTCAAGCAGATGCAGATAATATGCTCTTGCTGTTAATGAGTGGTTGCAAGGAGGGAAATCTGAATGGCTTTAAATCGGATGTAAATAGAAACCAGCTTTCAGAATTTCTTGGAATTCTTGATGTGGCCAAATATTATTTACCCTTTGGGAAAAATCAATTTAAATCAAAATAAAGTATCAGAATGGGAACATAGTCAGTGAATTGCTTCCTTAAAAAAAATCCCATAAAACTATATTTTCCTGTGTTTGGAAAGGAACCTTGCATTGAGCGTAATGTGTCTGTTGTAATATGATACAACATAAAGCTGAAAAAATGCATTGTATCCTATTTATTGTATGTATTTACTATACTTTTATTGCACAGCCTCATTCCCCAATGTTTTAAAGGGTGCAGAGCACCATCCATACCAGCCCCTGACCTCAGAAGGTATTTAGAATCTATTGTGGTTACTACTGTCAACACATATTGGGGCCCCTTTGGGTGGACTCAAGTTAACCTACCAGTAAATGTTTGGGTTGTGGTAGAAAGCCCCCAAAAACATAGGGAGAATGTACAAGCTCAACACAATGTGTCCCCAGATAAAACTGAACCCAATATGCAAGAATGCATCCTTAGTACTTGGCCGCCATATTGTTCAGAATAATGATAATACTATACAGTGCAGCAATTGTTTTGGCTGACTATTGATGTGGGAACCATGTACTGGTCTTTATCTAACCATTAATTACTGATAATGATCAAGTAGGTTAATCAGATTTTGATTACCCCACACAAAAAACGAAGACACACATGTATGGGCAGTTAAATGTGTATGTAAATATCAAAGATTATGACTACCCAAAATTTGTAGTTGCATTTTCGGTAGCCAAAGGCATTGGGAGATTGAATCACTTGACAGCTTCATCTTGGTAGTCCTCTTGGCATGTTATGGCTGTGTCGCTACCTAACCACAAACCCACAACAGAGGCATAACCTTTTCACAGCTGGGCTTCCAAACTATTTCTTTATTGTAATTAATGGAGAGCCTATCTTGGAATCATGGCACTGTCAGTGGTTGTTGCAGTTGGGCAGATCTGGAAATTGCGGTGGGGTTCTTCCTTCTGTATCCTTGTAGAATTGCAAAAAGCCAGGACACAAAATACTTTTTTATGGAATAGACCTTTAAAGTCAATCATTTTCAATGGCCTGTCATTGAAGTTTAAACTGCATCTAAATCCAAGAAAAAATGTGTAATATTCTGTAGCTTATCAGGCCTCAGATTTGATGGCTTCATTAGTTTTATTTCTAGGCTTTTTTCCCTTCATTTTAATATGGTGATCCTATCAGTAGCACTTCTTACTTTAGGGTGACCGCATTCACTCTCTGTACTTTATCTATAAGGAAGCAGTTTTGTCAACCTAGGACATGAAGTGTCAGGACTCCTTTCCTCTCCTCTCCTCCATAGGGGACCGGTCTGTAGTCCACTTATATAAATGGGAATAAAAATACATTTATTCTGTATATTTCACAGACCTAAAGGCCAAATAGAAAGGTTTGTTGTTAAAAACCCCTTAAGAAACCTTAGGCTCAATAATAAAGCTTTACACCACAATAAGGATCAATAACTTCAGTCATTTGACTATAATTTTTCAAATGCATTGAACTGGAAAAAAAACTGTTGCTTTGTAAAAAATTAAGATCCTTATCCTGGTGTTTTATGTTTTGTTAATTGAATCTCTTATATTTTTGATAATTGCATCATCTTCCTTATACTTAATTCTAGAGATTGATGATTAATGGTTTCCCAGTACATGATTCAAAATACTGAATATTGTGAAATGATTAGACCATGTATGTCTGTTATTACTAAACTACAAAGAGAGACTGTGAAACACCACTCTAAAATGTATGGTTAATAGTTTATTTCTTTCATATAATATTTTATCATGGTTGAAAAACATTTTATTTGGAGTAAATCCACTGTAAATAAAAAAAAAAATGAATAGTAATGTATTGATGTCTTTAATGGCTCTATTTGTAAGTCAAACTCAGTTTAGCAAGTAGGTGGAGGAAACTGTGAAACCACTTGGTGCTTTTCGAAGTAGACAACAATGTGGGAAGAGTTAAAATACATATTCAGTGCATTTTTACAATCAATACACAATCTCCCATGTTTATAAAACCCTGCAAATATAAAAAAAATCTGCTAATTATCAGCCCTACCTGCACTCTCCCGTGCTGAATTACAGAACACCTCCCCTTGTGTTATAATGCTGAGGAGAGAGGAGGTGTTCTGGAGTCCCATTGGCAAGAACTCAGGCAAGGCTAAATTTCAAACTGTACCTACATTACAGCTAAACCATTTTGCTGAGGACAAAGTACTACCAAATGTGTTTGCATTACTCAGGGAATGAAAAATATAAAATGTACTAAAAGATAAATTAGGCTCCCCTGTGTATAACATTTATCCATTGTTTGGTTGCTTTTATATTAATACGTTCGCTTTGAGGACGAGTAAAAGCAGTTAGATTGTGGAAAGGGAAACAATGCACACAGAATTTCCATTGAGTTAAGCAGCCTAATAGCCAGCGTATTATCAGCGGCTGTGTGCCTCTTCATCTTCATGAAGTGGAAAGAGGTTTTGGCTGCTTCATGGCCTTTTAAATTACTTATGTCATGGCATTAGACCTATTGATGAAATTTTAAATGTAAGATAGTGAAAGATGGCCTGCTAATCATGGTCTCTAAAGTAATAGTGCCAAATTCCTGTGGTGTGGGATAATACATTTAGTGTTAATATTTAATCACTGTTAAATAGCTGTTCTTTTCCATTACAGCCCCTCTCTGCCGGCCCTTGATTGGCATCTGCCATCCCAGTCAGGACCTTATGAACTGCGAATTGAAGTGCAGCCCAAATCTCATCACAGAGCTCATTATGAGACGGAAGGAAGCCGAGGGGCGGTGAAAGCATCTACGGGAGGCCATCCCATTGTGCAGGTATGCATGTGATAGGACACCCTGTTTATCTTGGCTGTGGTTCAGAAACACTTTTTTATAATGATGGGCAAAGTAGAGAGATGAAATGTACTTTCCCAGATGTCACAAATGAGCTTGTTGTGAATTTAATCAAATACCTACTGTACAATACTTACTTTGTTTTCTTTAACAGTCATAAATTACATGCACAAAGTATTTTAAAAACCAGTCTCATTTATGACATCAATTCTTAGAATGCAAAGGGGTAATGATACACTGAATACAAAACTTGTCCTTCGGGGAAAAAATGTCTCTTTCAAATGTCATTTGATGACATCATGTTAGCCATGGACTGGACCAAAGTATAGCACTTTGTGGTAGTGGCATAGAACCAGGATTTTATCTGCTCACTAGTAATTGCCCCCTCCCACCAAGAGGTTATATTTATCTTGATCATCAATGTAGGTCCTCCTTTCTTTTTTTCCTTCAAGTAGGAAACTGGAAGTGATGCAAGAAAAACAAATGCTTTGGCGTTACATGTGTCTGTGTTTTGTTCGTTAAAATTAAAAACGACTTAAAAAAATACTTAGTTAACTGAAGGGCAATTCATTGCACATTTTGAAGGCAAAAGACAGATTCAACTCTCAGACAAAGGAGTCTTGTATTTTGCAACCTTGCAGTTATGTCCACTACAGTAAGACATTAAATGTATCCCTTTATTTTTTTGTTTTTATGCACAAAATTATTTTTTCACAGAAGTAGTGAAGAGGTTGCTATTGTGATCACCCCCTTCATTTGCAGCACAAATGTCCTGCCACTTTGATACCTGTACCATTGTGTACACCTGTCCATTTCAGTATTGTAGTAGGACACTTGAAAGGTATACCACCAACCTTTTACATTAGTTACAGAAATTTAGATATTTACGCTTCCTTTATGATGAAAAAGAGCAAGACCTATGCTTAGGCCTGTCCTAAGGATTCTGACACTTTGGTCAGTCCATTAACTAGTTGCCGACCGCAGATAGCCGAATGACGGCTGCACTGCGGCCGGCCAGTTCTGAGTGGACGTCATATGACGTCCTCCCAGAACGCGCTCTCCTGCGCGCCCCAGGGGGTAAAAGGCCAATCACAGCGGCCTTTTACCACGTGATCAGTGGTGTCCAATGACACGCTGATCAGAGGGAAATGCAAGTGCCGGTTCTCGGCTGCACTTTCCTCACGCTGTCAGATCGTGAGGAAAGTACTGCCGAGAACCGTCAGTTGTCAGAGCGGGGATCGGCACCGATCATCAGGGCACTGATGATCAGTGCCCTGATGATCGGTGCCCAGCAGTGCCACCCGCAAGTTCCGCCCACCTGTGCCCAGCAGTGCGCCCACTAGCTCCGCCCACCTGTGCCCAGCAGATCACCCACCTGTGCCCAGCAGTGCACCCACCTGTGTCACTCTGCAGTGTCACACACCTGTGCCCAGAAGTGCCACCTACCTGTGCCCAGCAGTGCCACCCACCTGTGCCCACCCACCTGTGCCCACCCACCTGTGCCCACCAGTGCAGCCCAGCAGTGCTGCCAGTCAGTGCCACCAGTCAGTGCCCAGCGGTTGTGCCAGTCAGTGCCGCCAGTCAGTGCCCAGCAGTGATGCCAGTCAGTGCCGTCTATCAGTACCCATCATCAGTGTCACCTATCAGTGCTGCATATTAGTGCCGTCTATCCGTGACACCTCATTAGTGCTGTCTATCAGTGCCGCCTATCCGTCCCACCTCATTAGTACTGCCTATCAGTGCCCTTTAGTGCTGCCTATCAGTGCCCATCAGTGCCGCCTATCAGTGCCCATCAGTGCTGCCTCATCAACGCACATCAGTGAAGGAGAAAAATTACCTGTTTGAAAAATTTTATAATAGAAACAAAGAAACTTTTTTTTTTTTCTAATTTTTTGCACTTTTTTTATTTATAGCGCAAAAAGTAAAGTGCCCAGTGGCGATTAAATACCACCAAAAGAAAGCTCTATTTGTGAGAAAAAAATGATCAAAATTTCATATGGGTACAATGTTGCATGACCGGAATTTGTAAATAACTGCTGCTTTCCAAAAAATAAAGATCCTTGGCTTGGTGTGTTGACTTTGTGAATTGAGCCTATAGTATAGAAGGCTTTTCACATACTGCAATACATTTGTGGATTTATTTAAGGAGGTAATTCAATCGTATTTCATCTCTCTTCTTATTTGGCTGTACTAAACTGAAATCTGATTTGTTGCAATGAGTTAGAAGATTTGGCATCTTGTCATTGAACTTTGTACTACCATTTTTATAATCTGGATTATAATATACTGTATTATCCTATAATTGATGTTTGAATTCCTTTGTTAAAATCTAATCTAATCTATTAGATGTCTAAATAAGATAAATTAAAAGATCTTTCCAGACTGAATAATGCTTGAAAGTGTGGCAGATGACATGGTATTCTTTACTCATAAAACAATATTTTATGCAGTAGTTAGTACACTAAGGCCTCTTGCACATGGTACTGATGTTTGAGCATCTGCTTTTTTGGACGTAATTTCAGGCATTTGGTTTGAGCATATTCGTGTGTATTTGTGCGCATATACACATTCACACACACAATATTTTCTTGGGGAAATTTCAATACTATTTATTCTCATATGCACATATTTGCACGCAAAAGCGTGAACATGTTGTAAATTATTGACCAAAGATGCAGATTTTCCTATTTTTTTTATTATTGAAGAATACACGGCGCTTCTTTATGTAAAGGCACATTGTAAATAATGGGCTACATTTTACCTCAGTAAAGAAAAAAAAATGTTGAACTGAGCTTTTTCAAGCTGCAGTGTGCAAGAGGCCTAATATGAAAAGCAACATGTCCTTAGGTGATCGCAGCTGAAGTGGGAGTGGGTACCTGTCAAATTCGGGTACCCCCTCCCCAAAGGTGCCAATCCTTAATGGGAGTGGAGGACAAAGCATTAAAGCTGAACTTCCCCTTTTGGGTGGAACTCTGCTTTAAGGAATGAGGTAAACCTCTGCTGACTTCTATCATGCAGTCATATTTAAGCAAAAAAAAAATGTTTTAATTTTCTTTGCACATCATTGGGTATTCTTTGCAAAGTGAAATTTCACTACATTTGTTAATCTCTGGGAAAAATTTCCTTGCAAAGTACAACTTCACTTGCAAAGTGAATAGCCAATTTGCCTATAGTATATCACCCACTATATCTCACTTGTGTTACTTTGTTTATGGACAAATATATTCATTTCTGAGATCTCTTACAACCTTTTGTAAATTGACATACATGTGTTGTCCCTGTTAAAGACTTAATAAAAATGATTGCAATTGAATACACCTTGAACTCTAACTTAACTTTACAACATATAGGGAATAAATCAAATTGACTTTATTCTCTAAATGTTAGTTTCTCATGATACACTGATTATAAGTCCTGAGTTCAATATTTTGTTAAAGTTATACCAGAAAAAGATATAACAGTTAAAAAAAAAGACCCTCAGCTATACCCTAAATAAAATATGCAACATGCAAATTAAGGAATGTATAACATTTTTTTAATATAATGTTTAATTTGATCATATAATAGTCTTTAGAAATGCTTTAACACAAGTCACACAACTTTCACCCAAGATTTACACATTTTTCTAGTTAGACATTATTGGGGAAAATTTGTAAATTCTGGGTAAACATTGTATGAATTTTGTGTGAAAAAATGTATAAATAGACCCCATAGTGTTTTTGGTCATACAAATTAAAGGGTAGTTTATGTAGGCACTGCATGTATTTGCTTCAGATGCAGAAGGTTAGAATAAAGGCTTGTACACAAAAAACAAAAAGGCTATTGGTGCATGGTATATTAATAATGAATTGGCTGAATTACTCCATATTTACTCCATAATCACCAGTGCTCAGCAATGTGTTTTCCTTGCAAGGGCGGACTGACAACTCATGGGGCCCCTGGGCAATAGGGGATCATGGGGCCCTTGTGTCCTTGCCAAAACTCAAAAAAGCCTATGAAAAAGGTACCAGGGGCAACTCATGGGGCCCCCTACTGACCCCCCGGGCCCTCGGCCCTCGGGCAGTGTCCGAGTTTCCAAATGGTCAGTCCGCCCCTGTTTCCTTGATGAATGTCACATTGTGCCACGCCTAATAAAATATACTATACACTGGTCCTGTGATATGAGTCCTTCAAGAATACCTGTACACTCTATAAAGTGAGGTCCAATGCTATCACATTTAAAATGAGCATCACATGCACATAATTCCATTGCATTATGCTCTTGTTCGTAAACAGCTACTGAAAATAAGTGTTGTTTTTCAGTGTTTTATTTAAACATAATTTCGTTGGAGACAAAATAGTTTATCGACCTCAAAATCGCTGTGTTAAATTTAAAATTAGCTTAAAACATAGTGAAAACAATAGAGTTGAATTGTTTGTCTCAAAAAAAAATAATACTGAAGCTGAAATTAAAATGACATACAGTTAACTAGGGCTAGCTATCCCTCTCCCCTGATTAACCTTTGAAAAATGTAGACAGCCTTTTACACATTTCCCCCATTCTGTTTGTTTTTGCTATAAAAAAAAAAACAGTTTAAACTTCAGAATTATGTAGCTGTTATAGACTAAATACAGTGTAATGTGAGCATACTGCAATCCCTCATCATTCGGCGATGATTATGTCTGCTTTCTTAGTCGTACTTTGTTTTTTTTTCCCTTTTTTTTATATACACAAGATAAATTTGTCATATACTGCACACCTAGAAAATAAATCCTCTTTCTGCGTGGGCTGGAAGCAGAAAATGCATCTTAACCATTCTTTGCGGTTTGAATATGCGATGAACAGGAAATGTTTTGAAACAGAACCTGTTAAAATAAATAAGAAAAAAAAAATAGGTAGATGGATGGATGCATTTTTCCATATAAAGCCAAGCAAAATTGAATGGTGAAATATATGTAAACAATATTGAAATGGACCATGATACATTATTTGGGGAGACAAT